CTAAAATAGTGTTTCAGTTTATAATATAAGAATTATGCCAAGCTGCACGGACTTTATAACCAGATTTATGACAGTCAACATGTGAAATGAATGTAAAAATGGATCCTGACTTTGTACTAGGTTACACAAATATGGCTGCAAAAGAAAGGCAAAATCCAATTGAAATAAGCAAATATAAAAATGTTAAAAAAAAGGAAAAAAAAAATTAAAACATTCTATTAAATTATAATGATATTTACTTTGAATTTAACAGACCCTTTTTTTTCTTTTTAGAATAATGGTACAGAATGAAGATACACTTTTGCAACCATATTTGTTCAAATAGAAACAAAAATCAAGATCCAGTTTTATATTCAATTCACACATGAAATTCAATGAACATCAATGGTTAACTTAATTTTCCTCAAGAATGAAAAATTTCCAAAATGGATGTCATTCAAACAAAGAAAAATATAAAAGTTTTAATTGAATCAACCAAAAATAAATAATCATAAAATAAACTAATAAAGTCAGAGAGAAAAAATATCCAAAACTAAATTAAATTTTGGTAATATAAGTATTTAAAGCCATAGGAGTACTAGATTATTTAAAAATTGTACCGTTTATCAAAGAGAGTAAAAAGATTGTGTAGTGCCAAGATTCCAGAAGAGAGAAAATCTTACAATTCTATGACTTAACAGAAAATGACAGAACTTTCCACACACACACATACATACACGTGATTAGGTATAAAACTCAATGATAAAATTTCCACTGATCAGTAGAAATTTAGTTCTGCAACTCAGAGTATCGATTATTTACACTCCTTCTTTCAACCAATGACTGTCCAGAAACTATTTAGTCCAAGAGAGTAATTTCAAAGTTATTTTTCCTTCTCCCCCCCCCATTACGTTTTAACCCTTTGAGCCCTAACCACCATTTTACTGGTGGTAAAGAAAAATGATGTAATGCCCAGCCACTAGTTGAAAGATGGATAAACACTTGCAACTATTTTCATATCTACAGTGAAACATTACATACCAATTATTTGTGAATTTTGACTCCGGGGCTCAGGCAGAAGGGTTAAAATTGTTCGGGAACACAGAGCTCAAGGGGTTAAATGCTACTCCTCCAAAAGAAGAAAAACCTGCAAGAATTTCAACTTTGATATCACATTTGTGTGACTAATGGAAAACAAAAACTTGAATTTGTGTAAAGATTGCATTGTTGGATTACAAACTAAACCATACTTTGAAATCTAAGTTAATTTTTCTGATATATTTTTTAGACGTTTGTTTCTTTAGTTTCCCCCATTAAACAAGTTTCTTTGGCAAGGCTTATTTTTTATTCATGCTATTTAAAGAAATCATACTCAAGTAAAACAAAAATTAAAAGAAAAAAAATAACATAAAAAAAATGTTTCCCTAATTGTCTCTAAATTAAATTACTGCTGCATTTCAAAAATAGCAACAGGCCTGCTCCTGTTGCAGTTAATGAATAAAGAAATGAAGTTCCTGGAAGCAATGTCAATCATGATTGAAAGGGCACCATGTGTATTGTAGCCATAGCAGTAATGATTGTGTCTAGGGCAAAATAGTTTGACAGAGCCTATCTGATTTCAAATTCAGGGTTTTTTTTTCTAGTTTGTCTGCTACCCAAGGCAAAAAGAGTACAATCTACCCCTGCTATTAACCCTATAGTTAGAAAACAAATTCATGCCTTTTCCAAGGGTGTTAGTGCAAAGTGAAGAAAATAGACTCAGAATTTTAACTTGGCACACTGATTTTCACTTGTGTCACATCTGTGCTTTCAATTTATTCCTTTAAAATGATTCCAGTACTTATAAATAATGTGTGAAAGTCTTATGTTTTTTATGCAAGGGAAAAGCTCAATTTCTTTAAATACCCCAAATTTAACCCTTATTTTGTAGCAGCATCACCCCCCAACAAATAAATAATATTGTTATGATTAAGAAATAGTTCTCAAATCTGTGCTCTATAAAGGTATTGCAAAGACTTACGTACTTTTTTTTTTGTTGTTTTTAATAGATGTACATTAAACAGAACCAGTTAATAAACTTATACCAAAGCTTTATTGCACTTTACTGACTACTCATCTATTGACAGATATTACAAGGTGCTTTTTATACCTTCTAGATCTTAAGGGGAGGTAACTGATGATTTATCAGTACAAGATGAATATCTGATATTACACACTGGCTGTGATTCAAGCCTGGAGAGCACGCTTTAAGCTTTGGATTAATCAACTGTGCACATCAAAAGAGTGCCTAATCTATTTGAATTGTCAGAGAATCTGTTTCAGAAGAAGCAAACAAAGAGTCAGCAAATCTAGAATGAATAAGCTGGGTCAATGAGAAAGCCAAACATCTTTCCACACCCAAATGGACATTACCTCCCAGTTCTCTTCTAACATAGCTGTCTGTTTATTGCCAAGTTCTTGTGCCATTATCTGCTAGAATCTATTTTAAAACCATCATCAAAAAGATTGGCAGGAGCCAGACATGAGCTATTAAAAGAAAAAAAAAAGTTGAACAAGTACTTGAAAACCACTCTTGCATAACATCTTCAGTCTATACTTCCTCTTACAACTGTTCATTACATTATGTTTATTACGATGTGGCAACTCGTGGGAAGAAAGGTGATGCTTTATAAACACGAGACAAAATAAACCTTAATAAAAAAAAAAAAAAATAAAATCTCAATGCCATTGCTAAAAGTCTATTTGAGAATAACTTACTTCTCACCCAACCCGAATATAGATTCTTTTACATGACAATCCATAAAATTAAGATAAATATGAAATATATAACAAAAAAAATTTAGTTAATTAGTATACAATTAACTATAAGGAAATTGCCATTTTTGGTCAGGCTAATCATATTACTAATAAAAACATTTAGTAGGCAAAATGACTAACAAAGCTAACAATTAAGTACTAGTCATGAAAATAGTGGAGTGATGAAAAGACCAACAGGCTGATATTGAGGTTTATCAAACTTTTCATATACAAGAAGTTACAAAACTGTATTATATAAATTTTTGACTGAATTTTCTATCCTACAGGACAATAGCACAGAAGATTAAAGGCATTTGTTTCTGAATGTAATGACAATCTGATAGGATTTTCCAAGTTCAATCCCTGGGCTGGAAATTGGGTCATTAATAACTGAGCAGTACTAAAAAAAAAATAAATAAATAAATAAATAAATATGAATGAAATGAGATATCCCTAGAAAAGGCCAGTAGAACAAAAACAAACCCCAATAGATAAGATAAAAGGTCTGCTTAAAAATTCCCTGAATGTTATCTAGGTCAACAGAAACCTGAAGAAGGCCAGAGGTCACAACAACTGAAATGCTGTCATAACAACAAAGATGAAGATATTAATCTGAATGCAAATAAATGATATAAATTGGTGGCAAAATTTAGCTTCTGACTTCTGAATGGAAAAAAAAGCAAACTTAAAATATTTTCTTTTTGAATTAAATTTTACCCTGAAAAAAAAAAAAAAAAAAAAAAAAAAAAAAAAAAGAAAAAAAGAGAGGGAAAAAAAAAAGAGAGGGAAAAAAAGAGGGAAAAAAAAGAGAGGGAAAAAAAGAGGGGAAAAAAGAGAAAAAAAAGAAAAAAAAAAAAAAAGAGGAAAAAAAGAGAGGGAAAAAAGAGAGGGAAAAAAAGAGAGGGAAAAAAGAGAGGGGGAAAAAGAGAGGGAAAAAAAGAGAGGGAAAAAGAGAGGAAAAAAAGAGAGGAAAAAAAAGAGAGGAAAAAAAGAGAGGGAAAAAAGAGAGGGAAAAAAGAGAGGGAAAAAAGAAGAGGGAAAAAAGAGGGAAAAAAAAAGAGGGGAAAAAAAAAGAGGGAAAAAAAAAGAGGGGAAAAAAAAAGAGGGGAAAAAAAAGAGGGGAAAAAAAGAGGGGAAAAAAGGGGAAAAAAAAGAGGGGAAAAAAAGAGGGGGAAAAAGGGAAAAAGAGGGGAAAAAGAAGACAAGGAAAGAAAAAGAGAAAAAGAGAAAGAGAGAAAGAGAAAAAGAAAAGAGAAAGAGAAAAGAGAAAAAGAGAAAAGAGAAAGAGAAAAGAGAAAAAGAAAAAAGAAAAGAGAAAAGAGAAAGAGAAAAAGAGAAAGAGAAAAAGAGAAAGAGAAAAAGAGAAAGAGAAAAAGAGAAAGAGAAAAAGAGAAAGAGAAAAAGAGAAAGAGAAAAAGAGAAAGAGAAAAAAAGGAAAAAGAGAAAAGAGAAAGAGAAAGAAAAAGAGAAAGAGAAAAGAGAAAGAGAAAAGAGAAAGAGAAAAGAGAAAGAGAAAAGAGAAAGAGAAAAAGAGAAAGAGAAAAGAGAAAGAGAAAAAGAGAAAGAGAAAAGAGAAAGAGAAAAAAAAAAGAGAAAGAGAAAAAAAGAAAAGAGAAAGAGAAAAAAAGAAAAGAGAAAGAGAAAAAAAGAAAAGGAAAGAGAAAAAAAGAAAAAAAAAAACAGGGCATCCACCCAAGCATTTGTATCTACAAAAATGACGTTTAGAGTAATAACGAATAATGTTGGATTAAAAATTTCAGATACAAAAATAAAAAAAAAAGTGAGCAGATATAGGCTTTTCAGAAGATCAGAACCATAGGATGTGCATTCTTAATTGAGCCTTGCTGTGTTGTGACATTCCCTGTAGCTGGGTGATGCATGTGGCATGCTAGATCAGATTAATTAAAAATATAAATCTTAGAAATGATTCCATGATTGCCAGGTAAGATCAACATGGTTGACTGATTTTATTTTCTTTGGCATAACCATTTATAGGGTATTTAAAGCTAGAAAATATTTTTAGATAGTAAAAATTTTCTTTTGAGATAATGATTTAATGATACAAGTCTCATTAATTAACCCATACCTAGGGGGAGAAAAGGTGGATTCATAATTTTCCCAAGGGTATTTGTACATAATATAATGAACACAACCAGAATTGGAACTTAGTTCTCCAATTAACAATTTCAAGTTATCTATTACATCACCTACACATCTAAGTTTAAAGCACCTCGTATTCCCAAGTGGTAACCTATCTAGGTACTGCCCAAGCTTCATGTTGCTTAACTTCAGTGATTGTACGGGAATCAGTGTTTCAACATGTGCTTGTAGGCCTCAACAACAGATGAAATACTTTATATCAACATAACCACAAAGTGCAAAGAGTTCTGTGTAATCTCCATTCTCCAATATTAATACAAAAATCATTAGTGCTTTTGTGTATAACTGTACATGAGAAGGAACACTGGAACAGGTTTTGTTGAAATTTAATAATCCTAACATAAGGTGTATAACTAGTGTAATGGTATGGAAAATGGAATCAGTGAGCAGAGTTCAAATCTAAGTCTAGTCTGCTGCATTCACTTTCACACTAATACCCTTGGAAAATGAATGAATCCATCTCTTCTCCATCCTAGCTATGAGTGAAATAGTAGTGTAAACTGGGTTTCTCTAACTTTGGATGACAGCCAGTCTAATAGGACTATTCTGAATTCTAAACTGTGAAAAAGGCAATGGTAATTCATAGATAAAAAAAAAAAAAAAAAAAAAAACAATTTGTGGCAAGCCATGATCCCCTGGTTATGTCATTGATAGATAGGAAAGATAGAGATAGGAAAGATGGAGGGATGAATGAAGGGAGAAATACTAAAATAAATTAAAGTATTCAGGTTGTATAGGAAATTAATGGACATATGACCACTTCTGAGCTGTGTTTTCTGTGGTCAGAAAAATAATAAAAAACTCAATTTGAGATTGAATCCATTTAAAACTATCTAGCATTGAACAGTTGCTGGATATGGATCTAGATCTTGGTATGCATGTGTGGATATGGATCTTGGTGTGCATGCATGCACCTGAATCTGGATATAAGTGAAGCTGCCTGCAAAGTCATTTTGTAAAAATTTTCAACTGTTGAATGAAAAAAAAAAAATTTTTTTAACACCCAATGTCTTTCACAAGCCCACCAAGGAAGAATTTCATTAGTGTATAGGAATTTTTTTTTTTTTTTGCATCTATGTGACCACCTATGTTTGCATAAGTAATGGCAACTTCTCATAAGATTAGAGTGCCAAGAATTATAAGCAAGATCTTTAAATAATTATGGTGTTGTATACTCAAAAATCATCCAAGCAAAATAGAACTTAGAAAAAGAGTTTTTAAATTCCTCTTTACAGTTAACTTTGTTTTTCCTCTTCTTGCTATTTATTCCTCACAGATGACATGTCTCTAATTCCATTTAATTCATTTTTTTTAATCAATTTGTTGCTCATATCAAACTGTGCACAACAAAAATTAAATTCTGATTAGTCTTCTCAAGTGCTATCTATTTTTTTTAATTGCCAATAAATACAGGAACCATATGGGAATTAAACTTTATAATCCCAGGATGATACAAGTGGAGATATATGCCACTTAGACACAAAACTTTTACAAGTATGCAGATGTGCTGACTAGTATATAACGTCTGTCAGGAAAAACGTTCAACTATTTAATATTATAAGGGAAAAAGGGAAAAAAAAAAAAAAAAAAAAAAAAAGAAGCCTACCACAGGTAATGTTGCCATAGTCCTCTTCAAAGTAAACCTCTTGGGATCTCACATACTTAGATTCTCTTACATTATTTAAAAGTCTGCAAAGCTCTCTTCTGGGATTAACATCAGCTGTCTGATCACATGGGCAAAGATGGGAAGGAAAAAGACTCCTACTGAAACACATATAATCAACCCTCAGAGTTTAACCACCATGTCTAGTGTCTTGATGTAAGAGATTGTATTGATCTTAAGGTCCTGCAGGAAAAATTGGAATATACCCTTGTTGCTATAAACTTCCCAGAAACATTAAAAATAAACTGAACTTGCTACCTCTGTGGGGGTTTGTGTAAAGTGAGATGTTGTAGCACCTATTCATCTGGACACTTCTATAAGCTGGTTATATCCAAGTCACTGTGGCCAGTGGCTTGAGCATAGTCTGCCTTTTCCAGTGCCAGATTGACAGCTGCTATGTTAATGCCCTTGATATGTTAGAAAGAGAGATTTTAAAATTTGGTACATACTGTATAACATTAGGTTTCTCTCCATTCATGGTCCACTATGTGTTCTTAAATACCTGCTGCACCCTCTCTCTCTCATATATATATATATATATATATATATATATATATATATATATATATATATATATATATATATATATATATATATATATATATATATATATATATATATATATATATATATATATATATATATATATATATATATATATATATATATATATACATTATATATATATATATATATATATATATATATATATATATATATATATATATATATATATTATGTACATATATATATATATATATATCATGTACATTATATATATATATATATATATATATATACATATATATATATATATATATATATATATATATATATATATATATATATATATTATTTATATATATATATATATATATATTGCCATATAACTTTGTATATATATATTTATTATTATACCTGAAGAATATATATATATATACAATATATACATATATTAAATATATATATATATATATATATATATTCATGTACATTACAAATATGAATAAATATATATACAAAGATGAGGACAATAGTCCAAATAATGTAAATACAATACATATAAATAATAAATCATCTCATCATATATACACACACACATATTATATATATATATATATATATATATATATATATATATATATATAAAAAATATAGTGGAAAAATCCATATTACAATTACTTCAACTTAAATCTTTTAGATAACACTTTGTATATAAATCTTTTATATGAATAGGCTTTGTTACACCAGTATAAAATAAAAAAGTATTATTAATAAAATAGAAATATATAATGTGATCAACCAGTGTTGAGTTTTAGATTGTAGGGAAAGTCACAATATTTTTGTTTCAAATAGGTAACATTTTTATGAAGTCATTTATTTAATATATCTTAAAATATGTCATCATTAATTTATAGTAGTAGTTTAATCAATTGTTATAAAACCTGATTTTATTGCAGACATGTAAACAGTGTTGTCCTTGTGTTCAAGACATATATTGCCAGTTAAAAAAGTGTCTTCAAATATTTAATTATTATAAATTAAATGGGACATCTATAGGCAAAATTTCTTCTTGTATATGCCATGTCCATTCAGGACATGGACGATCATGGCTTCCCACAACTTCCTGTTCTTTGTAACTTTTAATGATATTTGACTTTTTTTTTTTTTACTATCCCTCCTAATCCCTGATTTGCCAACTATTTACACCTTGTTAGATAGGCTATTAGCTGCTTTCTTCCTTTCCTCTCACTTTCAATGTATCCTGTGAGTGTCAAATTTTCCAAGCCTACTTACCTCATTATGTGCCCTAGAAATTTCAATTGTCTCTTACTGATTCTAAATGTCTTTTTGTTTCCATTTTCTCCAAAAATTTGTTATTGCTCCCATGTTTAGCCCATGGTATTCTCAGTATCCTTCTGTAGAAGCACATTTCTGTTGTGTCCAGTCTTTGCTTCATATAGGAGGACTGTTATTACATAAAAGTTCAGTACACTTTTTTTCTTACAAAATTTTGTTTCTTAATACTCTGCTCTTGGAAAGAATCTTTCACCATTCCAATGCACATTTGGATTTTGGTGTTGCATTTTTTGTTCTATGTTAAAACACTTTCCAGATATTTAAATTTTTGTACTTGCTCAATTTTGGTATCTTCAACTTGTAAGTCACATATAGGGTTATTCCTTTTGCTGACAACAATATATTCTATCTTATTACAATTGATGTTTAGTCCTTTCTTCTCACTTTCCTTTACCACCTTCTATAGAAGTTCTTGTAGTTTACTTTCCATATCTGCTATCAAAACTGTGTCATCTGTATATCTTATATTAAGATTGTGCCCACCAATAATGAATCCTAACAGACTCCTAAATTCTCTCTTGTAAAAGTTGAATAAGTCCGGTGAGAAGGCACATCCTTGTCTTACACCCCTTTCTATTTTTGTATATTTACTCAATTCATTTTCTATCTATGAGCATGGATACTTCTATAAGTGTTCTAATAAATCAAGCCTTCCTAGCAGTTCAAACAGTTCTTTGCGAGATACTTTATCAAGCACATTTGCATAATCTATAAAACGGATATACTTCAAATTGCATTTCTATTGCACTTTCTGATACCATTCTGAGCATGAATATCACATTCCTTGCTCCAGTGTCTTTACCAAAACCGCACTGTTCTAATTCTGCTATGTGCTGTATTCATCAGAATTCAGATCATAAGTTTTGTCATTTAGTTTATTAAAATATTACTTATGTCTTTCATGACATTTTTTCCTATGACCATTTCTGGTCACAAATTTTCCTTATCTATCCTAAAAATACTTTATAAAGATAACATATGATATTTTTCATCTTACAAAGTCAATTTATTCACTGGCATCTATGATAACATTCTTAAAATAGAGTTAAGATAAAGGAAAGGAAGAATTGTTTTTGTGAAATCACAATTAGCCTTATATTGTGAAATGTTTCCTTTTCAATTTACCAAGCACAGTTCTCTAAATAATTTCAAAATTCTAACTGAGAATTTAATATTTTTAACATTTATTTTTTTTATTAATATAAACATTGTAAACAAAATGTCAAAATAAGTTTAAACCTTCTGATATGAAAGTGACTTTTACAATAATCATAACATTTGCCTAAAATCTGACTGATATATAAGTTTATACAAGATGAAATGATTTCTTCTTTGTCTTTGTTAGTTTTTCTTTCATATCTGAGCCAAATGACATATCCACAACATGATTGGTGTAATGAACATAAATACAAAAGAAGATTGACAGAATGATATACAAGATATTCTATTTTGCAACAGGCTGATATGGAAGCTTGCCTATGCAACTATGTAATCAGTTTGGACAAAGAGGATCTAGAAGGCAATGGCCAAGAAAAGAAAAAATACAGAAGCAATAATGAAAAAAAGAGGTAATATGTCTGCTAATATAACTGTAAACAGATGAAAGAAAATACACACTTGTGAGGTATCAAGGGTC